TATGTTATGTATAGAATGCATGAGCATTTGTGTGATGAGTATCTGAAAGACAGCATATGTTTGGCTGTGTGTACGTGTGTGTGTGTGTGTGTTGTGGTGGGGTGGGCATGTTGTGTATGATTGAGAGAAATGGTGAGCCTCTCATTCGGTGGTGGAGGTTTGGGTTTGTATGTTTGTGTATGAACAGGTTGGTGTGTGAGGCTGTGGAGGGGGCTGCGTATGTCTAGGGGTGGAGTATATGTATGAGTAGGTTGGTATATGGGGTATGTGTAGGGTGGTGTGTGAGTTTGTGTGTGTGTGTGTGTAAATGTGGGTGTCAGTAAATTCATGTGTGAGGCTGTGGGGGTGTATGTGTATGGGGCTGGTGTGTGTGTATCTGTAAATTGGTGACACTGCAGGGGGTTGTATGTGTATGGGGCTGAGGGGGTGTGTATCAGTATGTTGGTGTATGAGGCTGTGTATGTGGGCGGTGTATGTATATGGTGTGTGTGTATCAGCAAGTTGGTGTGTGAGGCTGCATGTATGGAGTGTGTGTAGGGTGGTGTGCGTGTGCACAGTAAGTTGGTGTGTGGGGTTTGTGCGTGCAGTGTGTTTGTGGGATTACAAGCGTGCCGGCGTGTATGGGGATATAGTTATACTTTGCCCCTGTGGGGATCAGTTAGACAGCAGACCCTCCCTGTTCCCACACTGCCAGGTGCTGGCTCACTCCTATCACTGGTGGGACTGCTCAGGCCTTAGGGTAGAGGCCACGTTCCCCTCCATGCTTCAAGGCTCTTTCCCTCAGACCGTCTGTCTGCCCCTCTGTCTATGTCCGCTTGTCTCTTCCCATGAGCACTGACATGCCCCTGCTAGGTTACACCCTGCACTGCCTGTGGACTCAGCAGCTGTGCATCTCACTCCTTCTGTCTCCGTCTTATGCGCGCACCCGCACACACTCTCTCTCTCTGGATATTCATCTGTGGTATATTCGGTTGCCATTGGAAACCTAAGAAAGAAGTGTATATCCCTTCCAAGTCTTAAGCTGTTTTTTCCCCTCCCCGTTCCTTGCAAAAGGCAAAGACTTTTGCAATGAAACGGTGGCAGCTTTGGTCCATCAAAGAGCTGGAACAATGAGTCACTGCCTGCTCTTCTGTGTGATTGAAAGAGTCCGTTATATAGCTCTGAGGGGCGTGAGGGGGCGCGGATTTACCTGCCCCTATTTCCATGTACCCCGGCATTCAAAGCACGGCATCCCGAGGTAAGAAAACCTAATTGTGTGTGTGTGTGTGTCGCTCTCTGTGTCACTCGGTCCCCAGAGGTGGGGGGGTGAAGGCTGAGTTTCTGCAACATTGTTGATTGAATCTATGCTTAAACTGTTACCCACGGTTAGGGGCTGATGCCACCCCCTGATCTCAGCGATGCATGCATGGCACGGGAGGGCCTTTTGCAAATCTGTAGGAGGAAGCGGTGCAGGTTTGCTGCATGTAATCCGGAGCTTTCTGTCTCTCCCCTCCTCCCCACATATGCCTCTCTCTCTCTTCCTCTGTCTCCTCCCTGCTCCCCTCTCCCCCACATTTCTCGGTGGAAGGGACAGAGATTTTTACGTTGCTCAGCAAAGAGGTAGGGTGCAGTCTATGGTGCAGCCACCCTCTGTCCCTGTGCACTCTCGCATGATGTTAGGGGTGCATTTGGCTCCTGGAGATGCATCTCACAGCAGTGTACTGAGGGGTGTTGTACTGCAGGAGGCGCTGTTCCAGCATGGCATTGGGTGGTGGGAGAGAGAGGGCTTTGGAGGCCACTGTCCATCTAAAACTCCAATGTTCTCTTGCTCTCCATACCCCAGCGTGGCGTTAGGGCTCACTTACAGGTGGAGGCGCTGTCCTCCCTCATGTCTGGGCGCTCCATCTCTTAGAACACCAGATTGGTCCTGGGAGGCCTCCTGGAGCTGGGGATAGAGCGCAGGAGTCCTGACTCTGAGCCCCGCCTGCTTTAACCCATTAGACCTTACTCCCTTCTCAGTGCTAGGGCTGGCTCAGACCTGGCTCCCAGCCCCGCCCCCCACTTTACCTCCGCTTGGGCACATTCCCTCGCTGAGCAGCCCAGTATAGCTTTTGCAGGTGGTGTGGTGCTGACGGTGCGGTCTGTTAGTGCTCCTTCTCCCAGCGTTAGGACCATGCTCCTTCTCCCAGCACCCCAGCACAGGGATGAGGGGTGCTGTGCTGTGCTTCCTATCTGGACATGCTCCAGTGCCCCAGCACAGAATGGGGAGCGGCACTGTGCTGCTGCAGGGGCTGACTTTCATTACCAGACCCGGACCTGTTCCCCTGGAGCAATGGGGAGTCATGCCCTCGTGAGCTGGATGGGCTCCATCTTCCCAGGCAGATGCCAGGGGCTGCTGTGTTGCTGGGAGATCCGTCCTTCGTATCCCATCCCAATGCCCATCCTGCTCGGAGTTGTGGGACCCAGAGATACTAGTGACACTGTTTCCAGCTTGGCAATGGGCTGCGCCATGCTGAGGGAGTTGTTGTCCCTCGCGTGGCACTGCGCTAGGAAGGGGGTGTTGAGTTGTTGTCTTTCATGGCTTCCGACTCCCAGCAGGCTCTTGCAGAATGCGGGGGAGCTGGGATAGAATAGAATAGGAGCAGGGAGCGTTGTGGTGCTGAAAGTGCTGTTCCTACTCTGGTGGTAGGAAGCACTGTGCCCGTGGCACTAGAGGGCGCCCTGTGACTGAAGGGACTGTGCCCGTGGCACTTGGGGCACTGTTCCCTCTAAGCTGTACACGTGTGCACGCACACACAGATCCTAAACCCCACGCATACGGCAAAACACCGCGCACACAAAAATTTGCACAGAAGCAGAACAATTTGCACAAAAGAAATTTTTCGCACATGGCCTGTCAAAAATTTGCACAGAAGAAATTTTTTGCGCACATGGCCTGTCAAAAATTAGAGGAAACACTGGCTAGGGGGGCGCCCTGCGGCTGTAGGGACTGTCCCCGTGGTGCTAGGGGGCGCCCTGTGGCTGAGTGAAGGGACTGTCCCCGTGGCGCTAGGGGGCGCCCTGCGGCTGAGTGAAGGGACTATCCCTTGTGGCACTATGGTCCCAGCTGGATTAGAGCAATGTGCTGCTGGAGGTGGTATCCCCAGCATGGCACTAGGGGGCGCTGTGCTGCAGGATAGACTGTCCATATCTTAAATCCATTTCATCTCCCAGCTGCTGGTGGATGAGCCTTTAGTTATGGTTCACTATATTTCCTCTGTGTATGTGTGTGGGTTTACGTGCTACATGAGTCCAGTCCCTTTCTACACTCCTCTTATCATAGACAGCCTCTCAGCTCTCCAAACCCAACCCCACCCTAGCTACACAGCGCTCAGCCTTCAAAGTGTATTTGATGGGTATGTTCTCCTTCCATATATCATGAGCACCTTTCCCTCTGGCTTTTCTCTTCAGTAGATCCTATCCCCATCAGCATTTACCTTCCCTGCTTCAAGCCCCCTTGGTTTATGTGGAATGGGAGGGGCTTTCATTAATGCATGGGATGTCTGTGAATTTTCTCGCAGGCAGACAATATTTCCAGGTGATCTTTCCCCCAGATCCTTCTGGTTCGCACTTTTGTAGAGGGTGGTGACTCTATTGCTGATATGTTGTTCTCTGTCTGGGGTGTGAGCGGGCCTTTGGGGTGGGACGTAGGCGTGAGCAGAGAGCTCTCTGCTATGGATGTCATTTCTTTTGGACACAAAAAGCCAGCTCCCTGTGAGGTGGAAAATCAGAAGCCATTCAGTGCTGGTCAAATGACCCAGCCTCCTGGGGCGCTGTTTTGGCAGTGACTCAGCGAGAAGAGCGCCTCATCCTGAGTCATGCAGACCTCTGCCTGTAGCACCACCCACCGCAGGGCTCAACTGCCTCCTGCTGGGCTGTGGACACCACCTTCGGTAGCTCTGCCTCCTCCAGCACCAGGCTGGGGTATTGGGGTCAGCGCTGAGCGGGGGGCAGTTTCCCCTGCCTTTCTACGAGCTCAGCTTAGCTGTGTTGGAAACGGAGCAAAACATGTGCATTGAAGGATTAAACGCCGAACAGCTGTATTTAGGCTAGCAGGTTACTTCTGGTGCATGGGAGGCAAGTGGGAAATTGGGAGGTAGAAGGACTGGAACACACAGGCCCTGGGAATTGTGGGATAGCATTGGTGGACTGTCCAAACTTGAGCCTGGCATCACATGCTTTAGCTACGTCCCAAAAGTGGGCAGGCTGAGACATTCACTGTAGAGGAACATGGGCTCGCGCTATGCCCCAGCTGAGTCAGGAAGCCCGTGTTCTGGGGGCACACGTCCCAAGGCTTTATGTGTGGATGGTAGGGGCATCTTGGCTTAAACCTGTATCAGAGCCCACGTCAGACCTTCACTTTAGAGAGAAGAGCATCTCCTGCTGGATTACAGAAATACCTCCCCCTGGGCTTTCCCCAAAGGGCTGGTCAGCGAGAGAGAGTCGTGCTGTCCCAATGAGAGACCCCAAATCCTGCTGAACGGTGGGGGTCAGGGATGTCAATCTCCCTTTATATCCCAAGGCCAGAAGGTTTGGGATGGTGTTTCCAGTGTGCGCCTACCACTCGGGTGAGGTAGGAGGTAGAGGCCTGGAATCAGTTCCCTCAATGAAGTCAGAAGACAGCATGAAGTACTGGAAGGAATGAGGGTCTGGAAGCCAGACACTCCTGAGTTCTGCTCTCTGCTCTGGGAAGTCCCTTACATGGGAAACCTCTCTGTGCCTCAGTTTCCCCACCTGTGACATAGGGATGACAATGACTGGCTTACACGTGAGGTCTTGGTAATGTCTACAAAGCATGAATGCTGTGGGGGAGGGGATGATGAACAGGAGAGGTGGCTGCTCCCCCTTCCAGGAAACTGAATTGGGTGGCACCCTCCTGGGTAAGGGGATGCAGCAGGGGTGTGGAGGAGAATCCCTAATGGAAAGTCTGCTGTGTGCCAGGGCTGAAGCAGCGAGACTCTCAAGCCTCTGTTTGTTTGCAGAGAGAAAGGGAGTTTGTGGCTTTGCACTTTGGAAACAGAATGAGAATTCATTGACGATGGACAGACTTCTTAACTGGATCTAACTGAGCAGGCATGCTGTGTGTGTACCACTGGAGCTGTGCCAACCCTGTCCCACACGCGCTGCTGGGGATGCTGAGCATGGGGCCGCGATACACCCGGGGACAGAGCCACACGTAACGGAGAGAGAGAAAGTACCCACCCAAGGAGAAGAACACGGTGGGAGAGAAAGGTACAGGGAGTGGAAGGAAGAGGAACATGGGGAAAGGGGGAGAGAAAGGGAGAAAGGCTGAGTGATGGGAAAAAAGAGAGACAGAAAGATACACAGCAGAGAGAGAGGGGGAGTGAAACACAGAAGGAAGCGGAGAGCTAGGTGGCAGAGAGGGAAGGGGAGTGAAAGGAAAAGGCAGATACCTAGTGAAGAGGTAGCAGCATAACCAAGGGAGGGAAGGATTGAGAGTAAGAGAGAAAGAACAATTGAAAAGGAAGGAAGAGAGAGAAACAGAGAGCCATGTCGCCTCAGGGAGGTGAGGCCATGGTCCGCCTTGGTGAGAGGTCCAAGGTGGGGGTCAGTTATTCATTTCTCCCCACATTACACAAAGATTATAGTTGGGAGGCAGACACCAAGGAGATGGCAGCCTTTGTACTGGACACACTGGCTCATGTGATCAGGGAAGTGCCGTATTGTCCAAGAATGCAACTAGTAGTGAGCAGGATGAGACTCTGAATCTGCGCCATTGGCCTCTCCGAGGCATCTCCCCAGCTCAGAGAGTTAATGGGAATCTCCTGAGACTCCAGGCAGCTGGTTCGAATCCTGCTTCCGTTCAGCTTTGTCCTGTGTTCTGAGTATGGAGGTCAGAGGCATTGCTGGCAGACCCCTCCCTAGTGTCCTCTGCCGTGCCGCCTGCTGGTTGTCTCAAAGGAAATGGCAGGAAATAATCAACAAGCAGAATAAACTAGTCAGTGAAACTCAGAGGAGAAAGACACCCCCTCCCCCCATATTTGATATTGCAATGACGTGGCTAGGGTGTGTGTTCAGGCTGCCCTTTACTGGATGGAATCAGAACAGTCCAGCTGTGTGTCAGAGACCATAACAGCTAGTGGAGATTCTCCTTTAGCTCATGTGGCAAGGGCCTGGGATTTTGGAGCAGGACCAAGTCCTGTCCCTCAGGGTGCCATGAAATCCTGCATTGCCATGATGTGAAGCATAGTGACAACTGTGAAGTGAGTGGCTCCGGCTTGGTGGCCACAGATTTGCCTGAATATGTGTGAACAGCTGTTTCTGTGCTTCCAGACAGCTCCCAGATAATAGATAGAGCCACAGTCCCAGGCTGGCTGGCCCTTTGAGGCAAGCTGGGCTCAGCCGTCAGCCTCACTGGTAAGCTATGGGCTAATTAGTGACCCCAGCAGGGCGTAATGAGGCTTAATGAGACAGACTGACCCTGGCAATGAAGCAGGGAGAGCTGGGAACACAGTGCAGGAAGGAAGAACAAGGGGAATTCCCCTGAGGAAGTCAAGCTGAGGTACCCACAGGGAGCAGGATGGGCTCCTGTCAGGGAGAGGGGATGCCCTGAATTAAGGCCTGGAGACACCCATGGGAGTAGGTTAGGTGCCTGTGAGGGAGCCCTGAGATAGGGCCTACAAAGAACGGGGAGATTCTCAGACGTAAACTGCTGGAGTTCCCAGCCACGGGAAGCAGTGGGGGAATCCTTCTGGGGAAGAAGTGGTTCAAGGGAATCTGTGCCGGGGCCAGGAAGCAGAGGATTTCAGTTGAGTCCGAGATGAGCAGAACTATAAGAGCGGCCATTGTGAACCTCTCCAGTTACCCCGGAAGGAGAGTGAATTGTCACGTGACTTGGCCTGAGGTCTGAGCCACAGAAGGAGTTGGGAGAAGACCCTGGCTGGGACTAGCCCTTGTGAGGCCAAGGGGGTCTGAGAGGCAAAGTCCCCTGCAATGCCACATCCAGGGACAAGGGAGTGTTGTTAGGTGAGGACAGCCACATTAACACACATCATCAGGGTCTACAGTGGATGGTTGATCATAATGACAACTGGTTATACACCCAAAGCACAGCCTCGGAAATCCTAGCTTCATATCGTCCCTGTGAAACAACAGTGGGAATCAAGTATCTTGTATGTTCACTTGGGGATCCTTGATGGAACAGTGTGCTCTGAAGGGATGTGGGGTTCATGTATATTATGGCTGGGTGAGTCTGTCGAGATCTGAGCAGGCTGCGTGGAGCTGCAACATGTGACTGGGTGTGTTGTGTTTATGTATTCATGTGCAGGCTTTGTTCGTTGCCTGTCAGATACGTGGCGCATGTGACCATGTGCTTGGATGTGTGTGCGTGTGGTTGGCTTCCTGCGGGAGCAGGTGGTAATCAGACATGCAAACCCAGGTATTCTGGTGGCTTGCACCCTGGGGATTTTCTTACACATGTGTGCTTTGGCATGTGTGTGTTAGCCTGATCTGATCCCCAGGACCCTTTGAAGTTGGTACGAGCAATGAGAAGGCTGTGAGCAGTGCTGGCATTGAGAGAGGGATACTTGGATAATGGGGCTTCTTATTTGAGTTCCTAGCATTTCCCATCCTATTTTATGTCTCTTGGCTGATTCAGAGCTGAAAGGCAATCAGTGGAGCTAACAGCTCTGCATTGTTCATCTCCCTCTCTGATTTACTCCTTTTCATCCTCTCTGGGTTTCATCTCCTCCCAGGTTCACACAGCCCTCAGCATTCAGGTCAGTTTCTCTTCACTGAGCCCTGGGCTGTAGAAAGTCAAACCTTCGCTCCCCAGCCCTGAAACCTCCAGCGAGGGGGCCAGGGTCAGGCTGGAACTCACTAGGAGGCAACAGACCCAAGCAGATAAAGAGAACAAGGCAAGTTTGGGATGGAGGTTATGCAGGGAAATCCATACTGATCACCCTCAAATGCTTTGTGCATTTAAAGTGACTCAGTGCCCCAGTCCCAAGGACGTCGCTGAGAGGCTCAGTGATTCCTCTTGTGTCAGTCTTCACAGCTGGGAATATTGGGGAGAGTTCTACTGCAGACCTGTTCTTGCCTGGTAACAAAGATGAGGAACTTTCAGATGCGGAGGTGTGAGGAGAAGATGTCCTGGAACAAACTGATAATTTAAAAATCAGTGTCGCTAGGCCCAGGTGGTGCAGCCAAGAGTTCAGAAGGAGCTTAGGTATGAAGCTGCTGAGCTGCTAACAAAACCATGCAATCTCTCATTAATGCCAGCCACGCTGGCAGAGGGTAGCAAATGTTGTACCTACATTTAAAGAAGGCTTTAGTGATGATCTGGGGAATTATAGACCAGGGAGCTTTACAGCTGTACCTGGCAAATTGGTTGAAACAACAATAAAAAGCTATGTTGATGATATCTGGAAAATGATGATTTGATAGGGTCTAATCAGAACAGTTTCTGCACAGCAAAACTGGGTCTCCCTAATCTCTTAGAATTCTTTAAATGTGTCAATAAAGTAGCGGATAAAGGAGAACAGGCTGACAATTTATTTAGACTTTCAAAAGGCCTTTGACACACATGACTACTAAAGAAGCATGGCATGAGAGGCCAAATATTGGCATGGTCATTAACTGGCTGGGAGACTAAATCAAGGAATGGGATTAAATTATCAGTTTTCATCATTGCAGAAGGTTAAGAGTGGGGGAACCTCATGATTCCGTACTATGTCCTGCATTGTTTTAATATATTAATGATCTGGAAAGAGGTAGTGAGGTAGAAAACATTTGCAGGTGGCACAAAGTTATTTAGGTTAGTCTGGACCAGAGAGGGCTGTGAGGAACTTCAGAGAGACCTAACCAAGCTAGGTGAATGGGCAACACAATGGCAAATGAAATTCAGTGTTGATTAAAGTAATGCACCATGGAGCGGAAGATCTAAACTACTCGTGCACCTCATAGGCTCTAAATTAATTGTGTCAACCCACAAAAGCGACTGTGGCTTCATTGTAGACAGTTAAACGAAAACCTCCGCTCAATATGCAGATGTATTCAAAAAATCAAACAGGATGTTAGGCTGCATAAGGAATGGGATAGAGAATAATACGGAAAACATTATGCTTTATATAAATCAGTGATGCAGCCTCCTCTGGAATACTGTAAGCAATGCGGGTCACCCTGTCTCACAAAGGACCGTGAAGAATTAGAGGAGGTTCAGAGGATAATCCAGGGAATGGGAGCTCTTTCATATGAAGAAAGGTTGAGATTGTTCACCTATAAAAGGGAGATTAATAAAGGGGGATATGATTAAACTCTATAAAGCAGTGACTGGTCTAGAGATGGGAGCTGGGGAGCTTCTGTTCTCCCTGTCCCATCCCACAAGAGCAAAGGGCCATGCAATGAAACTGAAGGGTGGCAAATTCAAAACTGATAAAGGAAATACTTTTTCACACAGTGCATCATTAGACTGTTGCTCTTCTTGGGGCACGCAGGGCTGTGAGCCACCTTGTTGCCAGCAGTCTCCAGCTCGAGCGCGTCTTGCCTGTGCCAGCTGGGTATTAGCTTCTAACACAACCAGCCTGTCAGCCACTCAGGCGCTCTCCTCTGGGCTGTACGGGCCCTGCCTTTGCCCTGCAGGTTGACTATGAAAGCTCCCCAGCCTCTGAGCCTTCAAAGTGTCCTCCTGTGGTGTCCAGCCCCTTATCATTGGATACCCCCAGAAATCCCAGGCTCTCCATTCCCAAGGGAAGAGTGTACCCCAGTTCAGCAGTTTTACCTTAGTTCACTGCTCCCATGGGTGACTGGGCAAGAAAATGGCAGATGAAATTCAACGTTGATAAATGCAAAGTTATGTACACTGGAAAACATTAATCCCAACAAAAACAACAAGGAGTCCGGTGGCACTTTAAAGACTAACAGATTTATTTGAGCATAAGCTTTTGTGGGTAAAAGCCTCACTTCTTCAGATGCTCCTTGTTGTTTTTTTGTGGATACAGACTAACACGGCTACCCCCTGATATTAATCCCAACTACACATATAAAATGATGGGGTCTAAATTGGCTATTATCACTCAAGAAAGAGATCTTGGAGTCATTGGGGATAGTTCTCTGAAAACATCCACTCAATGTGCAGCGGCAGTCAAAAAAGCGAACAGAATGTTGGGAAACATTAAGAAAGGGATAGATAATATAGAAAATGTCATATTCCCGCTATATAAATCCATGGTATGCCCACACCTTGAATATTGCGTGCAGATGTGATCGCCCCA